AAGAACTTCTTCACAGTTACAGTGGCCAAAATCTGGAATGGGCTCCCAAGGGAGGTGGTGCTCTCCCCTACCCTGGGGGTCTTCAAAAGAAGTTTGGATAGGCATCTGGCTGGGGTCATCTGAACCCAGCACTCTTTCCTGTCTATGCAGGGGGTTGGACTCAATAATCTATTGAGGTCCCTTCTGACCCTAACATCTATGAATCTATGTAACATCCTAATCTGCTACAAGGAGAGCAGGGGGACCATAGTGGCCAATGTCTTGCTTCTGGAAAGTTTGTTAAAATACACTCACTAATTGCCCCCACTACAGACAAAGGCAAAAACCCCCACAGGCCATACCAATCTGACCCTGGGTAAAATTACCTCTGGACCCAAAAGATGGTGATTGGCTTGACCTTAAGTGCAGGAACCTTTAGGTTTAAATCCCAGCAGGAGCACCGATGCACCCCAGCCATGTTCCCCAGCTTTGGCTTCAGCCAACACCCAATGTTTTCTGAGAAAGGCTTAAAAAAACTGACACATGCTGCAGCCGGAGGGGAAAAATCCCTCCCAACCCTATGTGTCAACTAGCAAAGCCCAGAAGCATGGAGAATACCAATAGTAGAGTGTAGGAATAGTTACTCCTAGATTACCCCTAGTTACTCATCCTGGATCAATGTCTGTCCAGCCTTTTTGAACATCTCCAGTGATGGAGATTCCACACTTCCCTAGGCAGTCCATTCTACTGCCTCACTGCTCTAGTAGTGAAGACGTTTTTCCTGATAACCACTCTAAGGTTGCTTTCCTACAACACTGAGCCATTGGTCCATGTCTTACTGTCTTCAGCAAGAGAGGAAAGGTGTTTTTCCTCTTCTTCATGACAGCTTTTCATGTATTTGAAGACTGCTATCATAACCCTTCTTAAGCACCTTTTCTGCAAGTTGAACATGCCTGTTTTCTGCAACCTCTCCTCATGTGTCTGCCTTCCAAGCCCTTTATCTTTTTTGTCGCTGCCCTCTGGACCCTCTAACTTTTCCATGTCCTTTCTAAAATGTGGAGCCCAAAACTGCACACAATACTCTAGATCAGTGGTTCTCAACCTTTTTTGTACCAGGACCTATTTGTAAACATTGATGGCCAGTCCTGACCCAGTACCCCTCACTCTCAACCTGCTGCACCCCATCCCAGGACCCAGTGTATGAGGCAGAGGGAGTATGTTTGGGGCATTTGTGGGGGGGGGGCAAGCAGCAAGGGAAAAGCCATGCTTTCCCATGTTTTTCTCCTTTAAAAGAGACTCCATTTTAAAGTTTGTTGATCCATTTTTAAAGTTTGTTTATGATCCTTTCATATATTCTTGTGACCCACTTTTGGGTCACAACCCATGGGTTGAGAAATGCTGCTCTAGATGAGGCCTAACAAGTGCCAAGGAGAGAGGCAGTAGCACCTCCCGTGTCTCCTCACCTAATGCTTCTATTGATGCACCCCAAAACCTCATTTGCTTTCTGTGCAGCTGCATTACACTGCAGACTCATATTGATCCTGTGATCTACCAAGATTCCTAGATCCTTCTATGTAGTGCTGTCAGCCAGCAAGGTGTCACCCATTTTGTATTTGTGTTTTTCATTATTCTTTCCATGGTATAGCACCTTTAATTTGTCAGTATTGCACTTCATCCTATTAGCTCCAGCCCAGCTTTCCTATTTGTCAAGATCCTTCTGAATTATGTTCCTATACTCCACGTTTGCAGTCCTTCCCAGGTTTGTGTCATGTACAAACTTACTCAAGAAGCTCCCTATGTCAGCCTCCGAATCATTAATAAACACGTTGAACAGTGCTGGGTCCACAACAGACCCCTCCTGGACTCCACTCAAAATCTCTTGCCATTCTGAAATGGATCCATTAGAATCATGGGCAAAATTAGGATTTTCAGAAGGGAGGTGCAAATGGTGTGGTGCTTCATCACATATAACACGACACACATTTTTCACCAATTAAAAAAAAAAGAGAAGCTTCACTAATAAGTAAAGACCTAGAACTATAATATGCAATTTGAGATTAGAGAGAGAGAGAGAGAAAGAATGAAACACTTTATTGGAATGTGCATTAATTTGCTATATCATATATTATGTTTAAAAACATAAACTATGCAAAAAGAATCCAAAGATTTGTTTCATTAGTCTTGGAGTCATTATAGTTAAATGTTTCTTTTCTAAATTCATAAAACAAAATCAAGCCTTCTTGAGTATTTGAATAGTACCTCCAATGCTTCATTGAAAGTGATTTCCACACCTGAATGGACGTTCACCTGAGTTAATATTTCCACACCTGAGTTGATATTTTTAGCTAGAGTTAAAAAAACAGTCTGCGGGGCTGAGAAAAAGGAGCTACATTACTAAGAGCAGCTAACAGCCAGCAGCATTGCAGAAATAAAGGCAGCTTGAGTAATGAAACCATTAAAGACTACTAAAAAGGAAAGAGGGTGGTTAACACTAATGGTATTAAGAGTTCAGAAGGAATCAAACAAATTATAATGAACCATGAAGTCAATTGATTCCTTCAGCACTGCCTAAGTAAAAAAGGTGCTGGGACTGCCAGGCAGTTGGGCTTTAAACTGTGGATTGACAAAGAATCAAAGGGCACCCACCCTGAATCCACTCCTGATTATAATTCCCTTTGCTTGTAGCTATAAAGCCAGTTGTCTACCCACCTTACAGTAGTTTTGCCTAGCCCACATTTCTCCAATTTGTTCATGAGGTGGAAAGCCTTGCTAAAATCCAGATACACTGTATCCACAGCATTCTCTTCATCCACCCAAGTAGATACTTTGTCAAAGAAGGAAATTAAGTTTGTTTGACATGATTTGTTGTTAGTAAATCCATGCTGGCTGCTTGTGGTCAGCCTTGTGAGCCTCTTCCTTAGCATATGCTCTCCCCAGGTATTAAGGTGAAGCTAACT